CTTGGTTTGCTTAAACCATGGTTTTATGATTTGGTTTCGTTATATATGTTTGTTATTTAACAAAAAAGTGTGAAATCAATTATCTGTTCATTCACATTTATTTTGATAGTTTGTGGAATAATTGGATAATTATTTGTTTATATTGTCTTTGCACTAGTATATTTGACGAGCGTGTTTGTTTCAATTTGCTCTTAACCGGTTTTGATGCTCTAGATTGAATTTTAGAAAATTGATTTTGAGTTTTGATTATGTTATTTAATTAGCATAATGGAATCAAATCAATTTTTATAGCGTTTATTTCCAGATTAATTGCTGCAATTATTTGAGCAATATATTTATGCAAATGAGTTTGACTACTTAAATTGCATTAATTTTTTTTATTTGCATTCTATTAAATTGTTGATTTCTAAATTTATTTTTTAGAAAATAATTTAATTGTTATAGCAATTTATTTAAGTTGTTCTATTAAACTTCTAAATTGTGTGTTAGTATATTAATTTGATATTGATTATTTTTGAACAGATTTAATTTTTAGTATGACTATCATTTGATTAAGTCGGACATGTGTATGAAGGCATTGTGTTTCCGGTTTGTTATTAAAGTCTGTCTAGAAAAAAGAAAAAAAAATGGCAATAAGTATAATGAGTCGACATCCCAAATTGGGAATGGTCTGCCATCCATAAACTTGTGTGCTTTATGGTTTGGAATTCTGATGTTTATCGGTATGTTCATATCCAATTTTTACCGAGTTACTGTGGAGGTTTTATGGTTACAAATCTAGGGAGTCGACACACCAAATTCAGTTTGGTAGTGGTCTACCATATATGATTATGCCAAGTTCTGATATTTGTCAGATTTCAGGTTATTGCATAGTGTTGTAAGCATATGACTAATGCTAGACATGCTCGACTGCACTAGATTCATTATATGTCAGGTAAATATATTTATCTTCCTAACATGTTGACTTTAGAAAAGAAACTCACGGATGATAACATATACTATCTCTTGAGAATACTTAAAGTTAAAACTCTAGTCAATATTGAATCTTGTATCATTAAGATTGTTGTATACAATGTTGGATAAAATCTATTTGTTCAAACTACTGTATAAGTCTACAGTTAGTTGATTACCTCTAGGAAATATGAGTTTCCTTAAAAAGAAGTACAAGTCTAAAAACACATGTTCTAAGGAATTTGCACTGGCAAAATTTCTAGACTTTAATTTGGCAGACTCTAAGTCCGTCATAGAAAAATTGAAGAACTGTGATTTCTTATACATTTGATAATAGCCAAAAATATGTCAATTTCTTTGACATACCAGGCCTGGTTGTTGATTAAAAATTTTCCATTATCTATGTTATAAATGAATGGTTGTAAGCCTTGATGACTTGATGGTCAGGCAGCGGACTGAATCTGTTAATCAGAAAGCATATGGTATCACATTTGTAAACATAATGCAAAAATGATTGGGCACAATAACAAGGGGATACTTAAGGTTCCTCTAAAAACCTATACTAGCTTCAAAAAGCAGAATGCTTAACTAGAAGTTCAATAGAAAGTGTCACAAGTGTGGCATAATGAGTAAAAATGCTAACACATGTCGTAGCAATGCTGACGAATATTGTAGCAAAATTTGACTCATGCAGAGACAATAAAAAATTTCAGACCAATCTGACTAAATTAACATGTGTAGTGTAGTTTCTGAAGTCTACCTGGTTGGAAAAACTCGAATGAGATGGTGGCATTACAATGCTATATCCAATGAAATCTGTTGTAATTAATTTGTTTATGTGCTGAATGCAAGATTGAGGCTATGAAAAAAATTCAAAGCATATTAGATGTAATTGAAAATCCAACTTGAGAAACTATGACAATAGTTAAATGTAAAATTGGGGGTAAGTTCTCTGAGAATTAGATGTGTTCTGTAAAGAACATGACATTATTTGTCAGAAAAACTGCTCCTTATTTAAAATGCATGATTCTGAGTAATCTTAGGAAATGTGTGTGTGTGTGGGGGGGGGGGGGGGGGGGGGGGGGGGGGGGGGGGGAGGGGAAGTGATGCTTGCCACATAGAGTCATTGGCATGATGTCATATTATTTAAAATTTTTAAAAGATAAAGTACATTGATACAAATATCTACAAGTGTGGGGGTGCCTGTCAAAAGTTGCAGTGCGATCTCCAAAATAGGTCACAATCTGACAAAACAATTATATATTATATTTTCAATTGGATATGCACATTCAAATAGTGTTCATGTGGTTCTGGTTTATAAATCAGATGTACTAGATATCCATAAAAATATAATAATAGCCTATGTAAATGAGGCGAATACTTCTGGCACATTAGTATATAATGCAAAAGAAGCAAATATGAAGTTAGATGTACCAATAAAAACTCGCCAGGAGAATCAGTTACATGGCAGCCGTTCTTTTCAAGAATTGGGCTAAGAGGCCATGTGTACATTGAACTAACATTCATTAAAGGTAAACAATCAACTGTGAGATCGACTCCATTATGAAAAACCATATGGGGATGATTGTTGATTTGTCACAAGGGCTTAAAGTCCTAATGTAAATGGATTTTAAAGTCAAAATTGATGGTTTATTCATCTGAAGTCCTTGTTTGGGCTAACGAAAGCTCTGAAAGAGTGGCCTGAAATATTTGACTATATCATAATGTCAAACATTTATAGCATCAATGAATGAGATAAGTACATAAACATCAAAAGTAGTCCACACGAACATATTTGACTATGTTTGTACGTAAATCTAATTATTTGAATACTCTTAGTGTAAAGTTTTTACATTTAAGGAATGAGACTAAACGATGTGATTCTAGTGATTAAGTTCACTAGACATTCAAAAGGAATCATTATCTCTCAACTTCATTATGCTAAAACCATACTTGATAAATTTAAGATCTAGTCAAAAGTGATCAGAAGTACTTAAACAATTGTATTTTACTCAATCTGGCAAACTTGTACATGTACTAAGTTGTCAAATGAGTATTCTATGTTGTAAATACTGAAAATGTATAACTAAAGTATTGAGCTACGTGCGATATACTAAAAGTTACGGAATGCATTATGGTAAAAAACAAATAGTTTGGGAATGATACATTTATGTTAAATGGTGATCTGATTCTAAAAACTAAAAGTCCATGAGTTGATTTATCTTTACGCTTGGCAATGAAACAACATCATTAAAATCTTCCAAATTAATTATGTGAAAGAAATTAATTATGGAACCAAAGTTCATAGCTTTCGATAAAGCAATGAAGCTACGGGTTTTTGAACTTTGTGGAAGAAAATATGATATGTGAAAACTAGTGTGAGCATATGTGTACACCATGATAGTCAATTAGTTATGGCTCGTCACTGAGTTGTAATGGTTAGTCATGTCTTTTAAAAAGACGAAATAAAAAAAAACAATTGATCTCAAATGGAGTTATCTCAATAGATTATGTCCGATTTGATGACAACCTAGGATCCATTCAAAAGGTGTGTCACAAGATCAAGTTGTAAAATCATCAAGAGATATGGGTTTTAAGACTATGACTTAAGAGGAGGTTTGATGGTAACCCCACCTACATGACTGGAGATCCCAAAAAATAGGTTCAAAAGGAAACCTTAGTTAAACTGAATCAACTAAGAGCAATGTGAGAATATGTCTTTGCTTAGTTCCTAGGATGATAAACAGTGCTATATGTGTGTATAGGATAAGCGTAAGCTTTTAATGATTTGAATCCATAGATTTGAGATACAACTGGAGTAGTACAGGTCTTCATCTTCACCTCCTAGTCGAGTAAATCCGATAGCTATTAACAATGATTAGTTCAAGGCTAAAAAATGCTACCAAATCATATACAATGGATTTTTCACTTGTACTCTAAAAAAATGTTTTATCGAGTCTTTATATGTTTAGAGTTATTTCTATTCATGTGGGGGATTGTTGGAACTCAATTTTAAGGCATATTGCATCGTTACATTTCCGAGCAACTCCCGACATATTCCCGAGGGAATTGCCAGATTATGAGTGTACTCATATGTTCAAATTGGAGTTTGTTTGAATGAGAAATGCTTGTCTAATGTTTGTTGCTTGAAATGCACAAAATAGACCAGTAAAAAATTATGGAGGAGTCCTAACAAGGTTAACCTTAGGACAATTGTAGAGAAGAGTGAATTCATGCTAAATCATATCCGCGTGCACCGAGACGAGGCGAAAGTGGCTCGAGCTCGAGTTTGGGTTTAGGCGTGGATTCATGGTAGATGAGCTTTGGTCCAATAACCTTTCTTTTGTATCAAATTAATATTTGTAAATTTTTATTTGGTCAAAAATAAATAATTCATTTAGTCAACTGAGAATAAAAACTAGGCCAAATCAAATATTTTCTATAATTAAATAATTGATTTTCAACAATTTTGTAGCTCCACAAATAATCATAATGACTCAGTATTAATTGAGATTAATGAGCATTATAGAGGAATTAAAAAATCTCATCTCTCTTATTTTTTATAAAAAAAACATGAAACTACAATCTTAATACACACTTCTATTTTCTTTTTCTTTGGTTTTTTTTTTATTTTGAGAGTACAACACAGAAAAAGATTTGAAAGCTTATAAATTAAGAGTGATGCGAATCATAAGAATTATGCAGTTGTATCATGGGATTCATAACGTTTTGCAACCGTCACACTACGAGGTATTTACAGAATTAAAGAAAGAAATCTCCATATTTCGATTCTACAATCCGTTTTCCTAAATTCTTGTTTAACCAATATTAATTTATATTATGTTTATCAATTTATTTTATGTAATTTTTTCATAAATTATTAATCAGTTTAATTATAGTAATTGCGTTTATACATTAAATATTTTATATGTTTCTAGTGGTTTTGTTTTGTTATTGCATTTTATAAATATTTTTTCTATTGATAGAGAATATGTATGTTGTAAAATATTTTTGTTGACAAAAAAATAAACAAATTTCCCTTCGAACACTTAATTTTTACTTTGTTAATTTTACTCCCCACGGCGGCTAAGTCCGTCGGCTTCCCACTAGCCTTTACCATCACATCACAATTCGAGTTTGAATTCAACCACCGCCATGGAATATCTCTTGTGAGAAACAGAAATAGCTCAATCTTTTCTCCATTTCTGCAATACCATCTCAAACCCAGATCCCCAAATCTCAGAATAACTTAGGTTTCACACTGAGGACGAGCCCGATAAGAAGAAGAAGATGGGAAAGAAAGAGAAGACCTCTCTAGGTCGAGCCCTTGTGAAGCACCACAACCATGTTATCCAAGAAACAAAGGAGAAAGGGAAATACTACATGACCCAGAACAAGAAGGTTCTGGAATCCGTGACGGAGTTTAGCGACATCGACGCCATCATCGAGCAAGCCGAGGAAGCTGAGCGGCTTTTCGCGATTCATCACGATTCCGCAACGCCTGTTCCCATCAATCTGTGGGTTTTTCTCGAATCCATTGTTTCACATATTTGTTAGATCGTTCTTCAATTGATTCTTGTTTATACGTATCTGAACTTGATCATCTAAAATCGGTTTTCACATATTTGTTAGATAATCGATCGTTGCTTCATATTCACATATTCTTCGATGATTCTGCTTTATACGTCTTTGTTTTGTGAGATTTGAGGATCAGACTGTGATTTTTATGCTCTTAATCTGATGATTTGCATTTTTCTATTAATTCCTTTCCCTCGTGTATTAATCTTCTTCGTTGGTGATTTGTCTGTTAACAGGGACACGGCTTCGAGCTCAAGTGGTGTTACCGCTAAAGAATGGAAAGAGCAACGGATGAGAGAAGAAGCTTTACATGCTAGTAGCCTTCAAGTGCCTCGAAGGTGTGTTATTTCTCTTTTGCTTCTTTCCAGTATCTTGAGGAGTATTATTATAAAGTCTCTTTCAATTCAACTTTTATGGTAATCTCTTTGTTTACTATTCAGACCTCCTTGGACACCTAAAATGAATGTGGAGCAGCTTGATGTTAATGAAAAACAGGCTTTTCTCACTTGGCGCCGGAAGCTAGCGAGGTTGGTTCTGTTTTTATCACATTTAAAAGGATATATTATAAGTCATTCGTCTTCAATATCTGTTACTAGAAGGATTGTTGCTAGTAGAAGAACAGGGAATTGCTCATATGCAAGTGTTCAAACATTTCATTCAGCTTTAAAGGGAGGAAATAGTTGAGGATAACTTATTCTTGAATCAATAATGCTCACAAGCTAGCAACTATGTTTACTCCAGTAGTTACCAAATGCTGCCACAAAATTGCGAGCTTTTGGTTTAGTCTCAGTTTTTGTTTGTTACAATGATATAATTGGCTCTTAGATTAGGAGTTGATGTATTTATCTCAAGTTAGCTCTTGAGCTGAAGTACTTTGGGAACTCAGATGTAAGGTCGTTGTGTGTTTCAAAGAAAAGCTTGATAGAGTTTAGGATAGGGTACCGAAACTGTTAAGTACGTTTCGTTGTTGATAGAAAAGCATCCATTGTGACATCTTGAAGATATGAAAATGTAATAGCTCACTCAATTATTTTGCTGCTATTTAGATGCATGATTTGATTTCATTATGTACAATTTTTCCTTGGGACTTGGTGCTATATACTTATGCATGCCTACTTGTTCTCCTGTATTCATTCAGCCTCGAGGAAAATGAAAAGCTTGTTTTGACTCCATTCGAGAAGAACCTTGACATCTGGAGACAACTTTGGCGAGTGCTTGAACGAAGTGATTTGGTATGTCATTTTTGTCCAGGATATCCTTTTCCTCTATTAGAGCTCATCTATATGGGTTAGTTTAATTGCAAAATGTCATTGGCTCTTTTTACTTCTCTTTCAGATTGTTATGGTAGTTGATGCTAGAGATCCTCTGTTTTACCGTTGCCCTGATCTTGAGGTAACTCTATATCTGCCAAGTTGCAGCTTTCTCTTTGTAGAATTTACATGTATCAAACATATACGTAAAGATTTGTTCTGACACAGGCATATGCACAAGAAATCGATGAGCATAAAAAAACAATGCTTCTGGTAAACAAGGCGGATCTTTTACCTTCTCATGTCAGGTAAACTTGTGCCTTGGTTCTTTGCTTCTAACCTTCTTTTTATTTTGGCTAACAATATATGATTGTATATAATGTAAACGCAGGGAGAAATGGGCGGAATACTTCTCGCGCAACGATATTTTGTTTCTCTTCTGGTCAGCCAAAGCTGCTACGGCTACATTAGAAGGTAAACCCTTGCAAGAACAGTGGAGATCAGCACCTGATACCTCTCAGAAGACAGATAATTCCGCTGTTAAAGTATATGGTAGGGACGAACTTTTGGATCGGTTAAAATTTGAGGCTCAAGAGATAGTAAGAATGAGGAAATCTAGAGGAGTTTCCACTGAAACTTCTGCTGAATCACACAGAGAACGTGTTGTGGTTGGCTTTGTTGGGTACCCTAATGTTGGAAAGAGTTCGACGATCAACGCACTGGTAGGTCAGAAGCGAACAGGTGTTACATCTACTCCAGGGAAAACGAAGCATTTCCAGACATTAATAATCTCTGAGGAGCTAATGCTCTGTGATTGCCCCGGTTTAGTCTTCCCTTCGTTCTCGAGCTCAAGATATGAGATGATTGCTTGTGGAGTGCTTCCGATAGACCGGATGACCGAGCACCGTGAAGCTGTTAACGTTGTGGCCGAGCGTGTTCCTCGGGATGTCATTGAGGAAGTTTACAACATCTCTCTACCTAAACCCAAAACCTATGAGCCTCAGTCTCGTCCACCTCTTGCCTCCGAGCTTCTAAGAACTTACTGCTTATCTCGTGGGTATGTTGCCTCTAGTGGTCTACCAGATGAGACTAGAGCAGCTAGGCAGATTCTGAAAGATTACATTGAAGGTAAGCTTCCTCATTTTGCAATGCCTCCTCAAGATGGTGAGAACAAGACAGTGAATGATACTTTGAGAGCAGAAACAGTAGAAGGTTCAGAGTCTGAGGAGTAAGGTGAAGATGGTCGTGGTCTTGGTCTCGATCGAGTTCTTGATGATCTAAGCTCGTTTGATCTTGCAAATGGGCTTGGCTCTTCCAAGAAGAAACTTCACAAGAAGCCACAGAGGAAAGTTTGATGGGTTTTGATGTATCGATCAAGAAATGCTGGAAAATATGAAACAGTGGTGGACTTTTTTTCTTATGTAAGATTGTTAAAAGTTCTAACATCTGTTTTGTTAGATGTTGTGTGTTTTTTGCAAATATGAAATATATGGAGAAAAGTCCTTGTGCCATTGTTTTAATTATTATAGATCACTTTACTCATATGCGAAGCAGCTTTAAGTAATTCGTTGTGTACTATGTTGAGAGAACTAGACTCTAAGTTTCTTTCGAATGTGTATTTCTTAGGTGTTGAATCTTGTCACCTAAACTTTTCTCCCTTCATCTTCAGCATCACTCTTGCACTTGATCAGTGCGCACATGCAATGTTGTTTCTTGCCTTTACAACCAAACCACGATTTTGATGTTGCATTTTCAGCTCTATTTTAATAGCTTTAGACTTTCCAAAAATCCAGTGTTTTGTCAAGCTTATGTATAGTCATTTTTAGTATGGCATTGCCCTTTTTTAACGAGGAAAAATATATCACGTATAAGAGGAATTCAACACATTTTTTTATAAGGAATCTACAATCTTAAACATTTTTTTGTTTTGTTAGTTTTAAAACCAAACGAGAATGGAGTTCTATTTGTACTCGCACTTGCACCTGCACCGTTGACAAAAAAAAACCAAAGTTTATGAAAAAAATGCTTTATAGTACAAAAATATAACATAAAAAATATTTTTTTTTTCATATGTAAGACGTAAACGTAAATACAAAAATTGCTTTTGAAATAATTGAAGCCTAAATTTTTTCTTAATAATAACCGAAAAAATTACACACTTATCACTCACTAATCCTACTTGAGGCCTAAATGCGGACTAATCCCTGAAGTTTATAAAAAAATCGTGGGTTTTTGCCGCTTAAGGCATGCATGTAGCCGACTATATTAAGCGGAAGAATCCCAAACTCTACATGGTGGATCAGCCATTAGACGGCCATTAGACCACCAGAGTAAACCAGGCCAGTCTTAAGATTATGGGGCTTGAAACAAAATAAAAAAAAATAAAAACTAAAAAATATTTTATTGTAAAACCTTGATAAATAAAAAATCTCATAAAAACAGTTCTAAATATAAAAAATGCTAAACTTGTAGTAAAATATTATTTTTTTACTAACAAATAATAAAATTGTTTCTTTTTTTTCTTTTTTTTGGTAATAGTATGGGCGACAATGTCTCTCAAATTTATTCAAAAGAAACGTAAATCTCAATCTTACATACATATTTGTCTTGGGCATATAGACCCAATCACATCGTTTCTCAGAATTAAAACTAAACTAGGTGGAACTACTTCCAAAACCTTAAATTCTAACGGTAGTAAAAAGGCATAGTTGGCTAAACAATCTGCAAAATAGTTAACTTCTCTATACACATGAATAAATTGGATTGTTGAGTCCTTTAAAAGAAAGCCGTGACACAAATATACCAAGAAAGACAGCGGATGTGAGTCACGCACCCCTGCCTTAAGAAATCCCACCACCAACTCCGAATCTACTTCCACCTCTAGTCGCGGTACACCTTTCTCCCAGACTATGTATAAGCCATAATAGACCCCTCACAGTAACCAATATTAACGGTAAAACCCCCTACAGCCTATGTATAGTCATTTTTAGAATGGCAGCCGCAAGTCCATGATTGCCACGCGAAGCTCTATTTGTGTTCAGCTTTAACCAACCCGCGTTCGGAGCCACCCGTCCTATCACTCTCCACACGAGCCTTTGATGTCACCTACTCCTTGCAGGCTGTATTAGTCGTGAACACCTCCAAAGCTAACTCTTTAATAAACAGCACCTTTTCTCTGCATTTTCCATTCTCACCAAATACATGAATACATCTCTATTTCCATCCCCACCATTCCGTCATAGCAAACATTATTAACCATGGAGACCCATATACCAACCCCTCATCCCCAAGATTGTCATACATTCACTCCAAAACAGACTTAGTGAAGAAAATTTGTCTCTTTTTTTTGGGACAATTCTGGTTCATATTCTTATCATAGTCGAAAAATCTCTGATGATGTGCATTATAGTCTCTCTCCCCCCCCCCCCCCCCCCCCCCCCCCCCCCCCTTACACACCAGGAAAATATCGGAGTCACTAATGTGTCATCTATATCTCTCTACATTGGTCATAATCGCTTGATTCCTGATCAACCAGAGAAAAACTTTTACCCTTTCTGGTACAGCTATGCTCCACACTCGGCTAAAGAAAACTTACATGTTTTGTCTAGGTGACTGGTCCCTCGTGAGCAGCGTGTAAGCCAACTTCACAGTGAAATATCCGTCTGGGCTCTTGGTCTGGAAAAGCCAATCCGTTGCCCATGTAACATTATCCAAAACTACATACAACAACTCCAATTTGGTTGTCTCAGTAACAAACGGAGCAATGCGATTAAAATCCCAACCTGCACCATCTCTCCACAAGTCACTAACCAACATCTGTTCAGAATTCTCTAATAGCTCTCCTATTGATGTCGCAAGTATTGGTTGTCCTAACGAGCAATGTATGTGTCCAGAACCGTATCTGTCTCCCGTTTCTAATAACCCAGCTCTGACCTCGGAGAACTACCTCCCTAAAGCCAACCGCCACACTCCTCCAAATCGAAGACCAGTTAGCCTTAGTTATCAGTTATGTGGGGTCATGAATATCTCCCACTATATACTTGCTACAAGCTATACGTGCCCAAGGGCTCCCCGGATCATGTAGCAATCTTCATCCCACCTTTGCAATCAGTGCTTTGTTCAAATACTTACCTTTACGAATCCTTAAGCCCCCTTCATCCTTTGGGTTACACACTCCGTTCTATGCAACTAAATGTTGTTTCTTTCTTTCACCATCCCACTGGAAAGTCCTTGAAATCTTCTCTAGGCTCTCGAGAGTCGCTCTTGGCAGTATAATAGTACTCATATAATATACCAGAATGAAAGATATCACAGCCTTGATTAGGATCAGGCGCCCTGCGAGACTCTTGAAAATCTCTCTTGGCAGTATAATAATACTTATAAATTATTTCCTTTTTCTTTTTCTTGATGTAAAATTTAATCTCCAACATGATTTCAACTATAAATTAAAAAATAACCTTTAATGATCACTAAATATATTGTTTATTTGAAAAAAATATTGGCATAAAAGAAGAAAATTAAGTGTGGAAAAGAATCTTTTAAATTAAATCTCACTAATTATGTTTTCTTTTTCTAACTTTTCCTTTACTTGAATAAGAATTCATAAATTTTTTATTTATTTAAGGATATATATTTTTTTGAATAATGGAAGCCTTCCACAAAATGGAGGCCTAAAACAAAATTATGTAATCAATTATATATGCATATGAATATACATCAATAACTGAATAATTAAGAAAATAGAAATCAATAACTTAAAATTAGAAATTTATCAAAAATAAATAATGTTTAAACTTAAAATATCCTTTTTATTTTCTTTAATTATACAAAATGCTATTATCAGAAAATTATATTATCGATATAAAATTAAGATAATACTGTTCATTTAACGTTAAACCACTAGCCGCAACTACTGTTATGAAGTTAACATGTTAAACGAGTTATCATGTCGTGTGAAATAACGTGTTATTGATAAGGCTCGGGTTTTACCTAAATAAAAGCACTGTAAGTGCACATCAATGCATTTATAGTATAAGAGGTTATCGAATCCCAAGGGAATACGTAAACTACACTAGCGATTATAGATTTGGATTAAACTAAGCGATAATAAATGAATGTAATGCGAAATAATTAAATAAATGCAAGAGGGCATTTTTAAGATTATTCTTAAAGTTCAGAAAGCTAAATGCGCTAAGTCAGGACAATTCACAGGTTGAATCCGAGTGTGTAGAATAATTAGGAATGAATTAAAACCGTCTTGAACATGAATCGCAAAGATATAACTAATTAATTCTCATTGCATAAGTTATCTATGTCTAAATCACCGAGTTTCAAATCTCGTTGCAAACTCTAACAACCTAAACATGCAGTAATGATCAGGTTCAATTGTTCTAAAAACACCTAAGCCAAATCTCTTTGCACTAAGGCGTTTTGCTCATCTAATGCTAGTTCAAGTGATTAATAATGCTCTCACATCTATTAAACAATCTAGGGTTTCGAAATCTAGATGATTAGTCTCAGAAATCGATATGAATGCAAACACAGTTGAAGAACCAATGGATTTCCCTAGTAATTAGCAATTCTACAAACTCTTCATCAACCTTTGAAAAGCCCTAACTTAATTAACAAACTACTCATACATGGTGAATTGAGAAAACATTATGAATAGAATAGATTGCATAAAAGAAATAAGAAGTAAAGATAAATGAGTTCGAAATCTGCTCTGAAGGAGTCTGATTTGTCTCTCCAAAAGCTCTTCTACAAATCTCTCTCAAAAGCTCTCTAAAAAATAAGATACAAGATATATCAGCCAAAAATGGCCGAAAAATCTAATATACAGGCTAAAACACGAGTTGGGATCTTCTTGTAAATAATGGAACATTGGGCCAAAAGTGCAAATTCCCCTTAATGTTTTAATAGAAGCTCGCGATTCTCTTCAGGGGTGGGTGACGAGCGTCACCCATAAGTGGTGACGAGCGTCACCCACTGCAGGACAACGGTTCTGAGTTGCTTACTTCGGGGATGATCCTTGCAATGATCCTAAAAGCTCCAAAACCTTCACTTATGCTTCAGTCATGCTATAACCTGCAAAGACTCTACTAGGACTCTAAGAAGACCAAAAAGACTTGATAAAAAAGACTTATACCATGGTTAAAAACCATAAAAACCATGATATATCAACTCCCCCAGACTTAGCTTTTGCTTACCCTCAAGCAAACATCAGACAAAGAACATGGTCGAGGTTTGAAACAGAAAGAGTCAGCTAAACATTAGGAACGCCACATTAATCATCACTTTCGAATCCACATACCACAGAGCCAACACAAGATCAAATTTCAGTATAATCATCACAAGCTTAGCAATCTCTCAAATCCAGTTCAAACCCCCTTCAAGAAATCCAAAATCTCTATTGCTAACTCCTAATTTTTATCTAAGTGTGATGTCTCATCAAGTTTTTATCATCTCAATCACTTACATATTCCTTTCCTTTCCTAAACACTGATCAAAGAAATCTCAACACAGCTCTGCTATTTCCTATTCCCTTGATCTTTTCCTTTGGACATTTTCGATTTTTCAACTTCTTTTCTCATATTTTTACAGCCTGAGATATGGTGCTACTCAATACTT